CGTGTCCTGTTGCGGTCAATGGCAAACCCTTTTATCTAGTTTACTTTTCGGGATAACTCACTGTTTCCCAACGCAAGCCATTGTGCACCCTGAGCCGGGTCATCGGACATCATTCCTGCACAAGCAAAGATACCTTCTAGGATAAGAGGGGATATTGATGTTTTATCAGTTTGCCATTGCTGGTAGAGATGGGCTCGATGAACCACGGGTACATAAGGATGAATATGTGTGAAGTAAATGTCGAAATATCTCATGGCTTCGTCGTCTGACGGCATCAGTTCAGGAGGAATTCGAATGGTGGCACCAGAGGCCAAATGAAGGGGTGGGAGTTTCGCGTCATCTTCGTCTGCGGTTGGTGCTTCCGGATCTCTATCACCCTTTCGCTGTTGTCGAATGTATGGAGCTGAAGGATAAATGTGTTAGCCACGTATCAAATCCCACGGAGCAGAAATGCAAGAATTATTTGAGAGAAAAACGGGAAGGTTATAAGAGGGTAGAGATCCATAGGACATGGAATTTATGAAGTTAAATGTCCTAATTCTGAGAGACGTACCAACTCCAGCTTCGTCAATTTTAAGATCTCCAAGCGCATCACTAAGGTCCCCAGGATTTGAATGATCCGATCTTGCATATGGCGCAGTGTCCACATTCGGAAGAAGTGTTTGAGTTGGCGAGGTGGTATATAGGTTGGGGTTAGGCTGGAAGGTTTGATGGTGTTGAAGATGGACAAGATGGTGCGAAGAAAGATCCTGATACAGATGGCGTGAATTTTGCATTTGCTCTAGATATGGCTGCGCCTGATATAAACGGGAGTCCGCATTGTAGCCCCGAACGTTTCCCAGCTGCTGTGCATGTGTCCCATCGATAGGCTGCGGTCGATGAGGGATGTTCTGTGCCGCAAGGTCCAGATCTGTAGGGTGAAGAATGTTTATTGGCGGAGGTTGCTGACTCGCCTCGGGCATTTGACCATGGGAAGAAAAATCGCCATCCTGGCCAATGGTCGGAGGTATGCAGACAAGTTTCAACCGCGTACATGCGGAACAGGGCCAGGTATTGGTAGTCGCAGCATCACATTTGATCTTTCGTTTGCGGCAGCCGTTACAAGCTCTCATCACTATCCAGCTATTAGTCCAGTGGATTTCTGTGAGCGCAAGGTGCTAGGTGTGTAATTCATACCCTTGAGACGTTTGTGTCTGTTGTGTTCGTCCACAAAAACATAGTCTACATATGCAGTTCACGTCAGAATCAAAACACTAGCCGCATTGACATCACGGCTGCCGGCAGCCTAGGATTCCAGCAGCCAACAACTCCGGAGGCGCAATCGTAAATACGTAAATAGATTAAATCAAATAAAAAGAAAATACAAAAGAGATAGAGCCTTACTTTTCTGGCCTTCAGCGGGGCCCATATTAGGCGGGACAAACGAAAATGCTTGCATTTGCACAATTGGAACTGGAGGGCCGGAGCTGGAGAAACACAAGGAAATTCGACTAGCGTCTGGTAACGGTGGGGTATCGCAATGCTGTCAGAAATGAGGCCTGGGTTGATTACAGCTTAGCATGCAGCCTTTGTGCGAGTACTACTTGTACCTGGCACGCGTGTGGGGTCTTTCAACGGTGTACGTTGACAAAAATGTGTGACAGGCCTGCAATCGAGCAAAGACAAGAGACACCAGTGACGAAACGGATGGCGGCAATCAGGGGATTGTGGTTGCTAGTGTTTTCTGCTGCTGCTGCTGCTGCTGCTGCTGTTGTGGTTGTGGTTGTTGGTGGGATAGGATGAAACAGCGCAAACATGCGCGGCGAAGACGGTGCTCTCTTTTGCGCACTTCCCCAAGTTCATGGTAGGTTGGGGAAAAGGTTTGCGGTTCCCCCAAATCCCACTCGGACAAAGTTGGATGCAAACCAGGAACACAAATCAGAGAGTCCAGGAACACACCCACGAAACAGCAGGCCAATGGGAACGGGATCAAGAGCTAGTCCTGCACACACGGGAAGGGGAATGACCGATCAGCAGATAGAACAGACATCTCCCATTTGCTTCAGACAGGCGAGAATTGGGGAGCGGGGGATGGGGTGCAGCGAGAAAAGGGGGAGGTCCAGGGGAGAAGAGCGAAAAGAAGGGGAGAGAGGTGAGGTTGAAGTTGAGGATGGGGTTGAGGCGAGGTTTGAAGCGAGAGGAGGTGACAGGCGGGCGATGGCAGCCAACGAGTTACTAACTAACGGTAACTAACAAACTCAGTTATGGGTGGAGTGCTAACTAATCAGGAAGGCCCCAGGTGAAGGCGTGAACCTTGGGACTGGCAGAAGGGCTGGGTCACGGGATTGGCTTGGGCGGGTTCCAGGTCTGCGGGTGATAGTCTCCGAAGACAGATCTATATGCAGTAGTTAGTTAGAAGATCGGATAAGTTAGTCACTAACTTATAATAATAGTTAGGCATCCCATACTACTTCTGCTCCTATCATCGGATGTAGCAGCGGCAGTTACCAAATCATAGCAATATCTTGTAACAACAAAACGGGGGAATTCAGTCGGATGAACACTCATTTCGCTCTGTACAGTCCGCAAAAGTGACTGATGAACATACAGATGTCTATGCCTTTCTCTCTCTGTGAGTGGGGAAGGTGGAAGCAGGATAGGATAGTGTGATAAGTGGGGAGCAAGATTGTTATGAGAGTTTCCATAAAAAAAAAAAAAAGCAAAAAGAAGAAGAAGAAGAAGAAGAAGAAGAAAAAAAAGCAAGCAGAAAGAAGAATTTTGAGAGGCTTACGGAGGCAGCTAGCAACTAGCCGTCCACTGATGCCAGCCTGTTAGCAAGTCCTAGGGAGGGGTAATCTCAGCTAACCTACCTAGCGCTAAGAGGGTCGGTTCCCCAGAGGCATCCAGCAGCAAGAGCCTAGAGGGCCCTACAGCAGCCTCGAATTCTAGGATCGCATCGCCCGGGCCAACAAGCAGCCCTACCTTCGTCCAACTCTTTATCGTGGCACAATACGGGAACTATACCAGCAACCACAAGGCTCCAACCGGTTAGTTATGTAGAAATAAGGGCACCAGTGTTGACAACGCAAAAGCGTAAAACAGGAAACCTTATCGTCCCAAGGCTCGAAATTGTAACTTAGTTACCTATAGAGTATTTATATAACCACCACCATCCTGTTCAAAGATAAAAATAACTAAAAATAAAATACAGACACGTAACACAAATGATATGGAGAGAACGCCCGAGGTCCCCAAAATGGGGAGATATGAAGAGCTTATTATTTATAAAAAAGTTATAAAGCGACCTCTCCTCCTATATCATCTTAAATATGCTTATTATTCTTGTTTTGGAAGTTAAAAACTCCCCTGACTACTTGCATATGGCTACGAGGTAAAAGACCATGCTATTTTAGCAGGTTCGTGGACTACGGCGTACATAAATTTCTGATTAGTGAGTTTTTAAAGTTTTGGAGATCATGGATTGATATGATACATATATTATCCATGGAGTGACCGCGACCAGAGTAAGTAGCTTGTCAACTCCATCCATTCCACGCTTTTTTATTTTTATTTTACGATTATTATTATTTTTTTATTTTTTTATTTTTTTATTTTTTTATTTTTTTATTTTTTTATTTTTTTATTTTTTATTTTTTTATTTTTTTATTTATTTATTTATTTATTTATTTATTTTTTTTTTTTTTTTTTTTGCATTTTGATATTAATTATCATTTATCTTCTCTCTCGATCTCCTCTCTCTCGGACATCACCGAACCATGTTATTAATGACTGGGGGGAAAAGCAATATTCAACCACTAAATCCGAACGCCGTGAAGAAGTGTTGCATTCCCTCAGAAACGGCAAATAGTCAGTTAGTTAAACTAACTAGTTAAAACTTAGTTAATATTACAGATCATTTAGTCAGCTCGAGGAAACGACCTTGTTAACTTCATATGTGGCTGGACTGGCGATTTCGCTCCTAGCTTCGAAGGCCTGCAGCAGTAATTCGTCGAAGCTCATCTTGGCCCTCGCCGAGGTCCATGTATGGTGATCAAATCTTTTCTTCGAGAAATGCGTGAAATTTAGGGTTATGTAGAAACAGGATTTTCACCACTGACTTGAAGGAACACCAACAAATGCGGCCGGCGGACTAGATATCTACCGAGCAGTTGGAGAAAGAAAAGCAGGGGTTGGCCTGTGTAGGAAAAGGGGTTAGGGTGAAAATAGCGTCGTTGACAGGCAGAGAGTTCATTTTTAGAATATGATGCACCAAACCTGCAAATCGTCATTCTTCCAAAATAAGAATCTTCAAGGGAAATCTGTGGAAATAATCCGGGGAATTTAAATTTTCTGAAACCAAGCAAAGCCAAGATAGGGTAAAGGGACAGTGCTTAAATGACCGACTTTCTGCAAGTAGCCGAGCACGAACGCTATGCTTTCTTTCTCTCCCAAGCTTTCACTGCAATGGATCCAATTCTCCCAGAGCCCATTCAACATCCTGCATAACAGAAGTCTCCGTTGACGGGTGGTTCATATTATATGATCATTATGATGGCTCTCTGCGGAAACCCCATCACCCGAAAACCCCGCATGGAACTTCTACAATGAGTTCAAAAACTATAATCCTGGGGATAACGACCGATTACAAGCGGGGCTCTTTTACTTTTGGCACATTTGACACCCTTTACTCTTTTCGCGCCTGACTGTTTTTTTTTTTTTTTTTTTTTTTTTTATTTATTTATTTATTTATTTTTTACTTTATTTTTGATTTATCCATGTCAAGCCCACACATTCCGTTGAAGGGATTGAGTAGCAACAATACGCACGTAGTAGTTCCCAAAATTGTTTCGTTTGATGAACCCTTCCCCCCTGTGTGTGAAGAAGCTGCGAGTAAGGAGCAAAACTCCGTAGAGCGACCCGGCCATGCCTTAACCCCATCCCTCAAACCGAATCGATCATGTTCTGTTCTGTCTCAGATGTTCCGGTGTCGATTGTAACATGAACGAGAGTAGAATGTGAAATTATGACCTACCGATAATGGGTAGGGCTGCCAATGTCCGGGAAGGCGCTTTTCGCCTCCTCTCAGGATTGAGTATTTCATAGCTCAAAGTTCGCTTGGGCGACGTAATCGGCACTCCGTTCGTTGTCTTCATATGCTGTCCGACGCTGGAAACGAAATCGCTGCGGTGAAGTCCGCGAGGTTGAGACGATCCGCTATAATTAGTTAACGTAATCCACCCACCAAGTTAACGGATCAAATCACTTAACAGATCACCTTTCATCCCAATCCTTCTCATCTATCAAATCACTCAATATGTCCGCAACTTCCATAATCAGGAAGCCAGGCTTCTATTAGCTAAAGCTTATGAAACTCAGCAAGTTGCAAATATTTGAGCAGCTGCTAAGCTTTATGATGCTCCTTATTCCTCTGTAGCCAGTCTACTTTAGCTATAAATGAGCAAAACTTAAATACAATTGACAGATATAAGTTGCCAATTATAAATAAATATGATAATTATTCTAATCCAAATTAGATAAGGTTGTATCTAACTCCCAAGATTATAATAATTATATAATATCTTTTCATTTCTCTCTTCTACAGTTATTAAAATATAAGCTACCTTTTGTTTATTAGAGAGAGTATATAACAAAATAAAAACAAAGTAAAAGCATAAGATTAAAATTCAGTAGTAGTAAATGTGGTAGCACAGGACATAAAGCTCCTCGCCGCCCACAGGCCTAAGAGTATTACCTACATATGTAAAATTCTTTATAGTTAATCCCTAATTAGTACTTTGCTTAATTTCTGTCAAATAAGGTTGACCGGTCAACTAACCAACTAGTTAAGTTAGTTAGTTAGTTAGGTGATTGGACTACGTTATCACGTGGAAGCTTAGGTAACTGGTCTTGTGGTCATTTCATTCTCAAGAGCATGGTTATTTTCTCACTCGTACCGTGGGCACAGGTTAGTTTCTTCGTAACCTTAATTTCGTTTTTTCGCAGTGCTGTTGAATTGTCCACTATAGCTTGGTTTAATTCATTTATATTACATTCCCTATTTCCATACAACCTCCACCCCTCCCTTGGACGTTGGCAGTCTTGGACGGGTGGTGGATGTCATTCCAACGTAAAATCACAGGGATGGTACGAAGTGAATTTTCTGGAGAATCCTGTGGAAGCGATGGCAAGCTAGCAAGGAGAATATTGTCCGTATCCATTCTTCCCTGCAGCTTGTCGAGTGCAATACATGCGGAAAACACCATATCACCCCGCAATTCGACTATTTTTGTTGCCATTCTTGTGCAGATGGTGTCGTCTTTGGGTTGTTTACAAAACCTATTGGGGTGGAATACTATTATCTAAGGGGTGTTGTGAAGTTACCCAAGACAGAGCTGGTGCAATTTGAACAAACCCTGGCCATGAGTGTTGCATTATTAATACGAAAAGCATGATGCTGCACAAGAATCTAGGCATCCCTTAGCCAAATCCTAATGACATTAGGGCGACTGCATGATGCACGGCCAGCCGACGGATGAAAACCTTATATAGACGAATAGTCTGTCAGGAGGTTGTCACTAATACACTGAAGAGCCCTTTCAGGAGACAGCATATTCCTATCTGATTTAATCACAATCTTCGGAACTTCATTGGTGAACCCTAGTCAACTGTCCCATTCGCTCATCGTATTATTATGCAAATGTCAAAGTCTTATGATCGACAGATGGACAAGCACCCCTGGGGGTGGAGCAGAAAAATAGTACTTCGATATTTATATGGCAACTGGGGTGCCTTATGATGCCAAATCCTTTGAAATAAGGAGAGCTCGAAAACGTGTCTTAAGTGCCAAACTCCACTTGCTACATATTTCCTTTTTATTTGTGCATTGTACCAACCTCGTGGCTACGATAACCATTATAGTAGTTGGTTCCTTTGTAATCCATTCCACCCTCAATGTGCTGCTCAATACTCAGAATTTCAGGAGTTAGCTCCAGTCCACTTCCCTTCCTTGCGCCTATCTGTCACCACGACGGAAGTGGTCTCCTGAAAACAGGATTCAATGGGTAGCATTCGTCATCTCAAGGGAAATCCGAGAAAATCCGATGGGCAAAATCCAAAGACAAGAGATTCAAGATACTATTAACAGGGGTTGCTCTAGGAAAGTCGAAAAGGGTCATCTGCAGGGCTTCCCCCGGCACACGCACAGAAGAAGCCTGAAAATTTCCTCATGCCGTGTGTTTCCGCTTGTCTCGTTGCCCCTCATCAGATAATAAAGAGAAATTTATACCGAAGGCAGCCAAATAAATGCAAAAGACGATGAACCACTAATCGCTATTGCTGAGGTTCTTCCAAGAATACATTTCTGTGGCTGGTCATAATTTGCTTCTCACCAAGCCATTTAGCTGGGATTAATAAACTTGGCAATATTTTGCGATGCTTCCGCTCTGAGAACCAAATTTAGGGTTTTGTGCGTGACGGCCAACAGCCGATGTTCCTATCAGGGGTGACGATACATATGCGTAATCGTATGCATATGCCTGAAAACCGTATCGCAACACAAAGCGCTCCGGTGTACGCCAACACCGAGAGAAATAAAAAGGGGCACCATAATCAGTCATCAGCTGCTTCCCAGGGAATTTAATGGCCAGTGCACTTCCTCAGCCACAGCAATAAGTTATATGATATCACTATCAACCTCGTGCAACCCATCCAAATGTCGGAAATTTTTGGCAAATTACGGCACTTAATAGAGATTACTGAGCGTAAGTACTGCTGTTCTTCGGGGATTTCCCGAGCACCTGGTGATTCTGCTGTCATCACCCGCTATTAATACTATTATCACTGGAAGCTGCAAGTACAGCATCTGGACTGTGACGGCCAGGGAAGATGTTGTGGAGTCCCGAAGCCAGCCACAATTTCCTCCCCGACCCAGAAGCTTGAGATAAATAATACTTACGTTTGTCTCTAAGATTTATGAATGAACCCTGGTAACTGAATCTCCCCCTTGCTTTCATCATTTTTCGTTTATTTTTACTACCACAAATTTTCAAGGCAGTAACCCCACCACAACTGTTGAAACATAGGCCAATTACCGGTCGCGTTCTATGGATGTGTGCCTGCTAAATGCTGTTAATATCTCAACCTTAACAGACTAAATGCAGAAATTAGTATCGATTCCTTATCACAATATTCAACAGAAATGACAGAGTGACATTCTTCGTAACAGAGGTACCAAGGCATTGTTCCTTGTGTGGAATATCACGTTGCATAAAGGGGTAGTTATCTTTGAATGGATACGTGTGACACGAAGAAAATTATTTAAATCATCCTTCTACAGTGAACACTTGATATTACAACAAAAAGCCCCCTTGGCATGTTATACACAGCTTGGCTCATAAATCTTCCCTGTGGCGATATGATATTACGTGCCCCTCCATTTCTCAATATCCAACGTCTTAATCTTGTCAATAACCATGTGAAAATCCAGAAACATACCTCACGATTAAAAACAAGCTCCTGTTTATGAGAGAGGAAATTGAACAACGATTATTCATACCTCGTGTTCATGCTGTCTTTTCATGTTGTCATCATTTAGAACGCGCTAGACAACATGTGGTAGGCTTATCTCTGCATGTCAGCATCCAACTTGAGGATCGTTGTCTCCGAATGCCTGCATGGATGCATGGCAGCAGAGAAAGTGGGCATGCTTCAACAGGCTGGCAAGATCACGTCGAGGATACGCTCGTCATTTGCAAATAACATACCCCAGCGCGGATATACAATCTCCCTGTTTTCACCCTAGACCGCTGCCGAATTCTGGCGTTTGCTCCTCAACGAAGAATCATTATCGTGCAACAAACACGGCAATCCCCTTATCTGTTTGTCCGCTGGGATCAGAAATATTCTTTGAGAAATTGTGAGCGGCAAAGACTTTACTGGCGGCAGTCCTTGTCTGATTATTGGTAGATCGATGAACAAAGTACTCTGGCTACAGGGGCTTCAATCGCAGCGCGGTTAAAAATAGATAGGTGTGGGCACATGGACCAAATTCTGTGTCTGGATATGTGGCTGGCGATAGAGGAATCGTAAGCTCAGGGGTGTCCTTGACCATGTTAATCTACATTTAACTACTAGTGCTGACTGAATGTGGGGAGACAGGTTCCCGCCTTCAGGAAACAGGTTAGCAACCATAATGGTGATGGAAACATGATTAGCGTGTATTGCTTCAGCACAGGCCTCTAGACTGGGTATCGGATACGGCAACGTCCTTCGTCCGTCCACTCAAGACATTCGGATCCAGGTTTGCAAGCTCTGCCATCTGCAATTCAAATTAAGAAACCTATAGTTAATCGAAGCTCGCTAACCGTCGCTTTCACAATGCCGTTGACAACTGCTCTACTTCAAGCCTCTTTGATATTTTCAACAACTACCAATGCAACCTGCCGGTGATGCGGTAGCAATCTAACCTCTGCCTTATGATATCAATCGGGGTTTTGGAATTAACCCTGATACATCCGGGGATTTTTGAGACTTCGAGCACTGGATTAGATGGCGTGATTGTCTTCAATACTAAATGGAAAGTCTTAGTCTCGCAAGAGCTGCAAGAGTGGGATGTGTCCGCGGGATTAAGACGACTTGGTCTGGCCGATGAAGAAGAACCCCAACGCTTTAGAGAGAGGCTTTCTAGAAAGCGGAAAATCGGCACTTAGTTCTATCCGTTGGTTATGTTGGCAGTGAGCTGCTGCTAGGGTTGGGAATCATCACGTCTATGGTGATTAAGGGGCAATGAAAACGCCTGCACAGATGCATACAGACCCACTCTTTATGAATAACATTCGGCACTTCTAGAGACCCAGGGTGTTGTTGTTAGGACTGTAATTTCCATATTTTCTGGATGTGAATTCTTCCTTTTGTACTGGTCAAATGTATTTCTTATTGGGAATATCCAGTTGCTCTCTGCAAGAGCAAAATTTGAAAAGAGATAAAAGGAGATCTTCGATACCACGTGATAAACAACTAAGAGATTTCCCACAGGCTATTAGTTAACTAACCATCCCGAGTCTCCTATTGGCCCGTTCAACTTCTGCCCTCTTATTCCGCAGCAAACACTCCCGGAGAAACCACCTCTACACCATCTTTCGAACATCTTTAAAGAAAAAAGGCCAAAGCAAAAAAAAAAAAAAAAAAAAAAAAAAAAGGAACGAATATATGGGAAAGGAAATAGCGAAATCATCATCATGCAAAACTCCAACCCAACAATCCTCAGTGCTGCTGATCTCCCCACCCGCAAACAACAAACCCGCCACTCCGCCGCAGCCAAAGCGGACTCCCCGTATGCCGGCGGGATCTTCACCCAGGAACTACATCCCACCTCCGTTCTCCTTCATGACCCTTTTGCTAGAGATTATCTCAGCAGCCCCTCCGCTTCCGAATCTGAAAGCGATGATGATTTAATGGAAGAGCCCATAGACGAACAAGAAATATTCGGTACGCTTCTCCTTTCCCGTCTTCCACCCTTTCCCCGCCTCCCTAAACCACCTCCTAACCCGCCATACTGACCAACTAACATCTCTCCAGACCTAATCTCCACAATTGCAGACCCCGAACACCCAATATCCCTCGGCTCCCTCGCCGTCGTCTCTCTCCCAGACATTTCGATCCGACCCTCACTACCCAGCAATCCCGATTCCCCGCTGCGCACCGTCACCGTCCTCATAACGCCCACAATAACGCACTGTTCCCTCGCAACGGTGATAGGATTGGGTGTGCGAGTGCGGCTGGAACAGTCCCTGCCACACCGCTTCCGTGTTGACGTGCGTATTAAGGAGGGCACGCATAGTACGGCTGACGAGGTAAATAAGCAGCTGGCGGATAAGGAGCGGGTGGCGGCTGCGTTGGAAAATGGAACGCTTATGGGTGTTATTGGGCGGATGTTGGAGACGTGTCAATGAGGAATTTGAATTATTGTTTTTCGGTGTTAGTTTTGAGCTTTTTGGTGTAGAGACTAAATGTCGCTCTTTTTGGGTCTGGGGGCGCGGGCGTTAGGTGCTTTGGCATATTGGTTTTTAATGCGTGGGGAAACAAAAACAAAATGCTGGTGTATTCCACTATACGGAATAGAAAGCGAAGTATACAGTAATGCAGGCAAAACAAGCAAAAACAGTGATTCTATTCGTCATCCTGTATATTTCCATACAGCTTTTTTTCTTTTTTTGGTCACTCATAAAACACGCAGATCAATCCCTATCTTTATCGTACATAAAATACGTGCAACCAAACCAAAAGAAACTGTCAACTA